GTCAAGAAGTGAATTTTATTCCAAACAGCAGGCAGGATATTAAAAGCAACATAGAAAATTATGCTGGCTGCACTTGGAGGTCACTGAAATTGGAGCCATTTGGGGTGAACTGCCCTGGAATTAAATTCGGATCCAGTAATTTCTAATGAAATTTGCTTGCCTATCACCCTGGCAAACCATGGCCAGGACACAGGGAAGGTCCTGGTTCTAACTCAAGGCAAATCCTCAGGGTAGGTGACAGATTCTTATCTCTCACATCCCTGTGCATCAGGATTTCTAGAGGATAACAGGTGGAAGGAAAACACTGCATGGCCTGAAACCTGATCTTGTCACAAGAAATGTGGCCATTTTTGCTTCATTTGATGTTCTTCATTACAAGGAAGGAGATGCACAAGCCAATACTGAAAGCATCTCTTGAATGTCATCTCTTGGTGTATACAGAGCATGTCAAAAGGGAGAAACTAAAGCAAAACTTAAGTGCAGAATCCACAATCCACATGCATAGAACAGGTATCAGAATGAGAGGACAGCAAACAGCTGCAGACAGCTGCAGACAGAGGTGGTGTCAAAACGGGGCCTGTGAGCTGACACAGTCTCCTGTGCAGGGGCCGTGGCCAGGCCTTGCTGCCCCAGGTCCCTGCTTGGCATGTGCTGAGAGCTGTCAGGGTGGGGAGCTGGCCCCGGCTGGCAGCCACACATCTGCTTCACCCCCCAGCAGGACAGGAAAGAAAACAGGAGGACAAAGAGCAAGAAAATTCATTGGTTGGCATATAGATGGGAAATCACTTACCAAGTACTGTTGGGGGCTAAACAGACTCAGCTCAGGGAATTCAATTTATTATTTTGGGGAAAAAATTGACAAACCTTAACATACCTTTCTTCCAAGTTTCCCAGTGCCAACTCACTCCAGGTCCTGCTCTGCTCCATTGTTACCACAGCAAGTGCCAGTTAGTCCCTTCACTGAGGCAGGGGGCAGCCAGAAGCTTCTTGGGAGAGGTGTTACTGCAGGTACAAAGTGGCTTCTCTGTGCTGCACCTTCCTTCTCACTCTCTTCCTGTGCTCTGACATTGTTCCTCTGTAGGTGCAGCCCTTTTGTGGCAGTACCTGCACTGGCATGAGTCCTTCTCAGAATCACATTATTATGTGCAGCAAGTTTAAGCAAAACTGGTCCAGGGATTCTTCCAGGGTAAACTCTTAACCAAAAAACCCTCTTTCCTACTTTGGCTGGTTCATGAGCACCAGAGGAAAACAAAAGTAATATCACAACAGTCAAACCCCAGAATTCCCACAGTCCATACATTTTTTGCCTGTATTTAGGGCAATTTTATCCATTAACCCAGGCAGCTCAGTTGTTTGGAAAGGATCCCCCTAAAGCTTTAAAGCACACTCTGGAGCAGACTGAATGTGCTCTGCACCACACCTGCTCTGGGCACACAGGGACAGCCTACAGGGACAGTGCCAGCCCTCCAGCACAGTGTGTGGGGCCACACCATCAGCCCTCAGCAATGCTCTGACCTGTACCTTCATCCAGATGCAGGACACAAACCACAACCATCTGAGTTTGTTTCTGTTATTCCACATGGCCACCTCACAGTGACATCCCAGACTGACTCCCAGCTCTTCCAAGCAATCCTTAAGTAACTTGTAACTCCACTCAGTGGCCATCCACTGACAAATGCTGCACAGATGAGGACTTCTGTTCTAAGGCTTGACTTGCATTAGAACTGAGCAAGTCAGAAAACAACCATCCAAGGCCATGGGGAGGAGCTGTAATGAGGAACAATTGTTTGCAAGAAAAAGGATCTCTTCAAAGCCAGCTGTGAGAAACAGCAGTCAAGCAAGGACAAAGCCCATCAGTCTTCAAAACAATAAAAAAATTCAGTCAGCTCTGGTAAGAACTTTCCAGCAGGTGAAGCAATTGTTCATCAAACTGGGGATCTATTTCATGACTGGATCTGATTTCAGAAATTAGCATTTTAAACTGACCAAACAACAAAAACAGCTGCTGAAATTCTGCCCACCTGAACCATCTGGAAAACTAGCCAGATGGAGAAAAAAATCCCCATCAGCACTCCAACAGATGCTGCTCCATATTCATATTTAACAGCTCTCCCCTTTCCTAGTCACTTCATCCAGATGTTCCAGAAGGTACTGGAAGTTCAATTAGAGGTGACATTTTATAAGTGCAGAGTAGAAACAACTCAATATTTATCATTCTGGAATGAAACTGTACAACAAAGACAGTTTGTCCATGCAAGGCAGCTCACACACCTCACAGCACAGCTTACCTTGTGCTTGACCACACACTGCCCCACTGCTTCACAAAAGGGGACAGGCTTGAGCTTTGTGGGATTTGAAATTCCACATATTTAAATGTTTTCCACAGATCCACTGAATTAGAAATGCAGAGCATGTGAGACAAAATCCCAACCAAGTGCTAATGGAAGCCCACAGTAAGGTACCATCCTAGAGACTCTCTGTTGTGTCCCTGCATGTTACTCTTGGCTGGTTTATAGCAAGATTTGGAATGAAGCACTCAAGTCCCAAACTGACATCAGGTGCAGCTTGGCAAAACAAAATTTCAGTACACAGGAAAACAAGAACTTTTCCAGAATTTAGTCTTCCATGCACATGACAAACACCACTCCAAAGGGCTGCTTTCACTGAAGTGGAGATTAAACTGTCTCATGGGCAGAAATCAATTAAATCCTAAAAAAAAATTAAATGCCTACTCTGAGGCAGTTGTAGCTGTAGTCTGCTTGACTCTGCACATCTGCATTTTAAAAACTACAAACCAAATTATTATTTTTAGAATGCTGTAATTCTATTGTGCTTAAACATTTTAGATGTATGTAAGAAAGTGAAATAGATGCAATAAATGGTACCAGATGTTACAGAAGTTTTGGCCACAGACAGGTTGTATCTCTGCATAAATGATGTCACAACAACCTTCTCAGCTGCAGAACTTCATACATAAATATTTTATAATTTTTAAGTCAGCAAAGAGGTCATTCCATACTCACTAATATTGTATGGATTATGGGGCTGTTCTTCCAATTGTTCCATGGTTAAGGAAGGAAAACAGGGATTCACGGAAGTGACTGAACACCAATCTCTTTTAAATGATCCCTGGAAAGAATGGTTTGGTGAAGGACCAGACCTAAGCCAACATTCTGCACCAAGGCAAGCACATTTACTGCTGACCTGTCCTGAAGGGGTACTTGTTTAACCTGCTCCAAAGAGACAGAAGAAGGAAATTCTGGAATACCTCTAGCTTATTTGGAAAGTTCACTATCCACATGTTTAGAAATCTTTTGCTTGCACTCCTTTTGCTACAAATTAGGCCAATTTCTGCTGGTAAACAGACAAGAGAGCTGAGCTTACTGCTGTTCTCATGGAGCAGAAGAATGCTGTCATACATATCTTTGATCTGCTCTTTCACTAACCCAGTTGCTTTACCCATTCCAGCAGATCATATAAACAAAAGTGTCCAAACTGTATTAGAGTTGTGTGAAAAACTGTCTGAGTTCCTCCAGTTTGCCCAGCTCCTGAAAGAGTAAATGGCTATCAGAATTTATTGTAAGACTTTTTAGAAAGCTTGACATTCCTTCAGAAGCAGCTTCTACGACTGAAAGCTCAGAAATGTTAATATTTTCTTGCCTTCTGAAATCTGGTAACAAGTAAGAAACAAGCAATTGTTTTAATATAGGGAACAATGAGAAGCTTATAATAAACTCATGCAATGATTCTCTCCTTCATGTCTGCACACCCCAGAAGCCACAGCACAAATACCAGGATCTGCTCACCAGCTGTTGTGTGCAAGCACGATCCGCATTCAGGGCTGAACCAAAAGGGGCACAATTCCCCAGCCATGGAATCAGAGGGGAAAATGACAGCAATCCCCATTCCCATCCCCTGCCAGCAGCAGGGAGGGCAGCTGGACCCAAACTCCTTCCCAAGCTGTTCACTCCCCCATGCTGGGCCATCTCACACCTCTGGAGAGAAGCAGCAGCAAGGGATGGCCAGAGAAAGTCACTTCAGTCCTGCAGGCAAAAAAAAAAATAAAAAAATGCAAAACTGCTGGCCTAAAGTGGCCAGTCCCTTCACTATCTCCTACTACCCCCTATGTGCCTGTATAAATACTGTTTTCTTGGTATTTTAAGGGGCATTTTCTTCCCTGTAGAAGTGGTGCTGCCAGGGAAATCAGCACACTGACACAAAACCACAGAATTTGCCTGTGCTTAGAGACAAGATGGAAGAGGGAAAAGAATTTTAAAAGCTAAACACAGTTCTTTCATCACATCTTAATTCTGGGCTGTGAGAGACCCTTATTTATCAACAGTAATATGTTAGGTCATTCAACCATTAAATTTCAAGAATGTGCCCATTAACAAGTCTGCTGATTAGGATTAATTAGGGAGTGGAATTTCTTACATGGTACCTGATCACAGAGTTTAGAGGAAGTACAAACAACTCATAAGAAATCACAGTTCCTACAACAAAGGAATCAAACTGCAGATGCTGAAATATTTTATACAAAGCTGTTTGCTCCCAGAGTCCTTGAGGCAGTCAGGCAGTGACCAGGGCCAGCACCCACCTGGGTAACTGCCCTTAATTTTTGTCCCTGAAGAGATGAAGTACAACAGAGCACACTGGGGATTCATCTGCCACATCTTCCCTCACCAGTGCTCTGAAAACTAATTGATTGGGGCTTTAATGACCAAAAACCTGCTGAGGACTCACAGAATAGTTTGGGTTGGACAGGGCCTTTAAAGGCCATCCAGTCCAACCCACCTGCAATGAGCAGGTGTTAATAAACCTTCCAAACACTGGATGTAGCAGAACTTTTCAATAATCCAAAGCTTCCCCTAAATTAAAAAGAAACAAAGTTAGTCCCAATACAATCAATCTAGTCCCTTGGTATCACCAGTCTTAATTTCTAACAACATAGCAGCAGCTCTCATTTAAATATGCACATTATTAATTACTATAATTAAAACCAAATAGCTTTAAATGTTAAAAAAATATTTATTTCAATTCTGTATACAAAAAATGTCAAAACAACTGAACATTTATTAGTACTGACAATTTTTGTGAATATTCAATGGCATGTATGTCTAAGCTCACTTTACAAAAGCAAGTGCTTACAGAATTGTAATTGGGTTTTTGATTTTCCTTAAGTATCTTTTTTACCTGACTAGCAGCACATCCTGTGCTTTTAAATAAGAAAAATATCAGAGTTTAGCACACAGAGTACGTTACACTGCAACTTTTGACCAGAGCATTAAAGGATTTCTGAGGAACCAATGGTACGTCCTTCTCATTTACATCCAATTATCACTTGCTGACAAAAATATACAGGTTTTTGAGACATATTTTCAATGAACATAAAAAAGCTGGCCTTCTATCAAAGTGTCTGCTGTTTCATCCTATGGCTATTGCATATATACAAAACCAACTAAGCCCAAGAACACACCAGAAATCAGCATTCTGTCTGTAGCTGGAGTGACATTGCAGTTGTGCCTGTTGTGTCCCAAAACCCCAAGCCCAAAGCCCTGCATCCTGATATTGTGCTTTTCCCAGCAAACAAGAGCTTCCCCTACATACATTAGCTACACACAGAAAGGGCAGGTACTATTTATTTAAAGAACACAGTAAAAAATTTCCTTTCGGGATATTTTTCTGTATGAAATATGCAGCACTGTTTTTTTTTATATTCAAAAAATAACCTCATAGAAAAATAGACTTCATAAAGCACAGGTTGGTGAAACCCTTAAACTTCTTATCCTAATCCTCTACTCCATCAGTGCTGATGAGGAGATTCCAACAGTCTGTGTCAAAAGCCAATAACCAAATTATTCTTCTGCAATCACACCTTTCTGCAATAGTTTTAGAGGAACATCCCCAAGTTCTTTCATTCTGAGGATAAAATGCCTGGACAAGGAGTGATTTTCAGGGCAATACTGGAACCAAAGCCCTCGAGGTTCATCAGTTAACATTAAGAGGCAGCAGTGCCACAGGCAGGACAGCCTTGTGTGGAGGGTGTGCCCAGAGGGACAACTGAGCTCTCAGGTCTCCTCTGGTTGGGTAAGGAAATCCTCAAAAATGAAGAATTCAAGGTAGCTGCTGTTTAGGTATGATTTTCACAAGTCTACAAACTCTCAGGTCTCAGATTGGTCTTCAAACAATATAAATATTGAGAAATAATGGAATTTTTAAAGCTGCACGAACAGCATATACAAAATAAAATTTCCAAGCTTTTTAGAAAGGGAAATACATGCTTTAAAAGAAGTATATTACTAAATAAATATATGCTTTGTATGGCATAGCCACATACCTTTGCACAAAACTCCTAACAAATTATTTAAGCTATGTAAAGGGCAGCATTTTTTGATTTAGAACATAAATATTAAGAAAGGCTTTAGAAAACATAAGTAGTAACAACTCAGTTTTATCTCATCCAAGCTCTGTATAATGGTGTGAGGAAGACTGCAACACTGAAGTTTGTATTAAATAATTCCTTGGTAAGGACAGCAGGGGAAGGATAGCTGCAACTATTTGTCTGCTCAAGAGCTTAAGCCTAGATTCACATGACCCAGCCACTGTCATCAAAGCAAACTTTTCAAGTGTCATTTCACATGGCAGTCCCAAAAAATGAGCTGGTCATCACAGATATCTGAGAAAGGTTTGCAAGAAAAAATTGCATGGTTTAAAGTTCCATAGAAAATGCAACATTTCAGTTGCAAAGGAGGAAGAAAACCTGTTGTCTGAGAACATCAGCAGTCAAGAAGCCAAGGAATTCTTAAAGCTATACAAAATAATTTAAGAGAAAAAAGACAGTTTGGAAAAACCATCAGCCTTCTTCCATTTAAGGTGCATTAAGATGGAGACAGCCGAAGATCACATTTTGCTTCTTATCTCACATTTCTTATTCAAGTTCCAACTTTGAGTCTGAACTCACAAAATCCTATTCAGTTTTGCAACAAGTAGTAAAAATAATGGAAAAAGATTATAAATTATTCTGTAAATTACAGATTACAAATAAATCTGTACATATTTTGGTAAGTCTGAATAGCACTTTACATCAACACCTGCCAACTTCATCATCTGTCAAATCTACGAAGCCTTCTCCTTCTCATGTCCTCTTCTGAGTTCTCAGGTGGGAACCAAAACCCATAAGGTCGCTGCCCATAATTGCGTGTTCCTCCACCAAAATCTACAAGACACAATGAAAAACAACTGTTATTTTGGTCTGTAATAGGAGAAAAATGCACATATATCCTGTAAGCCAAAGCATCACAACACAAAGGAGACAGGGAATTGAATGTTTTCAATTCTGATGGTTTTAGGGCAATTGCAACATCCAGAAACTGCTCTTAAAGACAGTCAAATAAAAAGAAAAACCCAAACCAGAAAACTACCTCAAACAATAAAGCTACCACCACCCAAAAAACCACCCCAATCCAACAACAAAACCAAACCAAACAACGAACCACAACAAAAAGAACATCTAACAAGTATTAACCCGTTAAGAATAACAAGTATTAACAAGTATTCACATTTTTCACAATCCCTACTTTACACAGTAAACTCCAGAATGTTAAACTATTTCAGTGTCCTCAGCAGTTGTTTCTGGTAAAAACAGCTTTTGTGTTTGCTTTTAGTACTGAGTCCAACATGTGCAGACCCACAGCAGATGCACACACAGCTCCCACCCCCAGCTGGCAGCAGTTCCACAAGGGAAGGACACGTGGCAGCCCAACCATTCCAAGTGTAAGCAAAATAATCTGAGCAGCAAGAGCACACCCAGCCCCACAGCTCCGGGCCCTGGCACCCCGAGGAGCCAGGACTGGCCCTTCCAGCAGCTCTCCAGAATTCACACTGAGGCACCCGGCAAAGGAACAACGCAAGGCTGGGTTACACACCAGCTCGGCTGAGGGGCTCTGGGAAACAACATCAGTCTGCCTTCTGAGCAGATTTATAGTGTTAAGGACATCCAAATTTGCTTTAAAGGTAATAAAACCTTTGTAACATTCAGCATTTCTTAAGCATTCACCTATCCCACACAGGGTTAAAACTGTATTGTAATGCTGTAGTTTAATAATAGATTTTTAAATCATAATAATTAAACTACTTGCATTTTTAAAAAAAAACATTTCCAGTAGTGAAATTGTCAATTAAATACCAAAGTTTCTTATAATAACATTTATTTTTAACAGCATCCCAGGTTAATTTTTATTTAAGGAAACAGATACCCCTTACACAGTTAAGACAAGTCTTTGCATAGTCCCCATAAAATATGCTCAACACTTCAAATATACATGTGCTTTAATAATCACTAGTAACAGAATGAGGTGTTATACAAAAGATGAAAAATGCTCTTTTACACATTGACCCAAAAATAGAAGGCTAGACAATATATTTTGACAAATTGTCTTCTTTAGGTTGAAGAAAAAAATCTTTTTTTACATCAAACAATATCGTGAAGAGCAAAGTCTGGATGTTTTTGTATCTGCATGTAGATATTTAAATTATCCTGTTACCTAAAATAGTTCCCTGACACCTTTTTTCTTTTAATTACTGCAGAAATATTAATGAAATAACACCTTCATCTTATCAAAATATTTATAAGCCACAGTGTTCAGAAATGGTAATTACGCCACTGCTACTACTGAAACACCACCTGACATCTGTGCAAGAAACCAAGACAGGCTTTTCAACACATCAGCAAAAACAAATTAAAGACTAATGGAATCTAAGACTGCATTCAAAGGACATGGAAAACTGCAACAACACTGGATGATAGACAAAACCAAAGGATAAAGTACAACAAACTTAGAACAAGACACTAACCCTTCCATGACATATTTTACAAATTTACTGTGACCTAAAACCATGTTCTGTGAATACAGAGGACTGAGACCCCCATGCCTATCCTGTCACTCTGTGTAGGAGTTTCTTTTGTTATTTAATTCACAATTAAAGCACTTTGGAGCAAAAGAAAATCACTGTAATTGCAACAGCTGTAACTACACCTGTATTAATGCAGTGTTACAAAAGAAGTGTTACATCAAACATTCTCACTTGATTTTTCCTCTTCTCTGAAGTTATGACCTAATTTTTAGGTTAGAGAATAGGATTTGCAAGACAGGTTCTGTAAGATTCAAGAGGAATATATTAAGCTATCAAATTGCTAAACTCTCTCTAGTAGAAATATGCAATTAGGTCTGATAAGAGGAGTGTAGCAAACAAATAGCAGAGGTATCACAAAGCAGCATGTCTGTATTTCTTTTTCATGCCAGCTTTAGTTGTGTTAAAGAAGAATCTAGAGCATTTCAGTTGAACAGCTTACCATTTTCAGTATCACCATCTGTCCTGGCACTACTGAATGTGGTATCCACACAAAAACCAAACTATACAAACACTTAAGTACCCATACAAAGAACAGACACTTCTCATTTCTACAAAAACTCTTAATTCTGGAGAGGCTTTGCTGTAGAAGATAATCACAGACAGCAGTAATTTCTTTTGAACCCAGCAAGGACCACACAGCTAACCAAAACAGAGAGCTCTGATCTGGATATTTAATCAAATGTCATAACAACTTCCAATATTTGCTTGGATTTCATTTATACCAGTTTTATATAAATTATCTCTTCCATAAATAGTATAGCCCTGCTAACTATATTATAACAACAGAATATAATTAAAGTTTACTAACCAGCACTTAGGTGTGCTACAGATCACATACAGTGTAATACATTGAACACCTAGCTTGCCTTGCTTTTTAATGCAAAAATGCCAACATTTAAAGGGTTCTATTTAAGAAAATAGGAGTTCTCTTAGTTTATAAATATCCAAATATTTATTTTTTTCCATAGAATCAATAACGTTGGAAAAGACCTTCGAGATCATCGAGTCCAATCCATGACCCAACACCCCTTGTCAGGCAGACGCTGGCACTGAGTGCCACATCCAGCCTTTTCTTAAACACCTCCAGGGACAGTGACTCCACAACCTCCCTGGACAGCTCATTCCAAGGTATTTTTGAGGCATTTGGAGGTAGAAGCAGGAAACTGGAAAGCAGCAAGAATCTAGAGTCAAAAGCCCAGTGTTGCTTTACTCATTTCATCTCTTCCAGCCAATGAGTAGTCAAGTCTTCGTGTCTAATCAAACTCACGATTTGCGGAGTTGTACAGAGAATTTTAAGGAAAGGCAGTGTAGGCATTTTTCCTCCTTTTATACTTAAGCAGGACTAGAAGTCTTCCAGAAAGAGCTGAGACACACAAAACATAGCAAACTGTTTTGTTTCACTCAAAGTCAGACAGAAACTACAAATGAATAAAAAAATATAAAATGGCAAAAGTGCTTGTCATCTTTCCTGTCCTTCCCTCTGCAAAAAGACATGCTATACAGTCTGAGAGCTTTGGCTTTTAGTACTTCTCACTGCCCCAATTTTTTCTACTCAGCTCCAAGTAGACCACATTCATTAGCCTTTGCTATTGTTTCTAACACAGCCCTTTCAGTTTCTGTCAATGTATGAAAGAATTTTGTCATGCCATGAAGCAAACTGTTCTTCCTGGTGCTGATGTCAATATGTCTCATCTACAGACTTGAACATAAACTGGGGAAGAAGACTGATGGAAGTTAACTACTGTTGCTGTGCTATGCTTTGGAACAGCTGACAAATGAAAAATCAAATTAGCAGGGAAGGAGCTGAGGGTAATGAGTTTAGAAGGAAAGTAACATACAATGAATCCAGACACAGCTGGATGGTTACAAGAGCAAGCCAGAACAATCTTGGACAGTCTCTGTCTCTCTCTTGTTTTTAAAAGAAGATGGTAAAATTGAGAAATACACCAAAACATTCCCTCCCCAAAAGTCTGATAATTTGTTTTGGTTAGGAGAGAAGATGACTAAAGACTTAATCTTTAATCCCTTCATACTTAAGGAATTTTATATTTATTTTAATCATGCTTCTAAATCTCATCTTTCCTGTACCAGCATCACCAAAATAAACTCTTTTTGAAGTAACAAATTGTTAAAAGCAAACTGGTAACATTTTTAGAAAGTATCAATCACCACCTCATAAGCCAAAATTACACACTCAGATCATCCATTTGCTACAAATACTCAATGCTACAATGCAGAAGTAAGAGGATAGAGACCACTGCTGGACTTGATGCTCTTCTGCAAAGAATTAAGGGGATTAGTTTTACAGCTACCATTTGGCTGGATACTGAAAATGCTCCAGGAGAGATGGCATAAAATAATCTTACTGCATTTCCCAACCATTTAATCATTCTCCAGATGTTAATTCACCTAAAACAAGGCTAAACTCATTATTAACTGAAAATGATTGATACATTAAATTAATTATGTCTATCTTTCCCAAGTATTTAAAGGAATTTACTAACCAACTCAAAACACCCTACATAAACATGTCAGTCCCTGGGCTAAGACAGACTGACAGTTATTCCTCTCCTGAGTAGTAAGAAAGCTATGAATAACTTCAGTTAGAAGAATTTCAAGTGGGCTGTATATTTATCATAATGTAGTAGAAGTATTTTGTTGAGCTGCAAATAACAAGGTATGCTTTTCCTTAGAAAATGACTAATTTATTCAGTTAGGCATTAAAAAAAAGTTCAGAACATAATTTTTTAAATAGTCCCAATGAAAAAAAAGTAAACTATATACATAATCTACAGAATTAATCTAATGATAAACCAAAATTAAAACAGTAAATTATGGGTAAATCTAAAATTAGGACTATCCACTGACCTTAGTTTACCAGTAAAAATTCCCAGACTAAGTTTGTTAACATTTGCAAGAATCTTACAACATCAAAAAACCCACTTTGCTTTCCCGTTACTGCATTTCTGCTTGCGTAACAAAGACCCACAGCAACAAAGGAACTCTGAACAATATCCCCTTCCCAGTGCCAAGCCTGAGACACCCAGATGGATGGAGGGAGATACCAGTGCACACTGGAGCCACTCCCCAGCAGCTCCCACTTTCTCCAGGGGTAAGGGATCCTTTTGTGCAGCCCACACACAGCTCTTGCTAATGATGCCCACAGCTGGGAAGCAGAAGTGCTGCTCTCCAGCAAGGTGACCCTGCCAAACCCACTGTGAAAGGAACAAAAGTTGTCCCTTTATGAACAAGTTACTGAGGGGAAAAAAATATTTCCAGAGACCACTGAAGTCAGATAAAAGACTCCCATTTGTATCACTGGGTCTTGGATCAAAACACCAAGAGCTCTCCACCTCCATATGCAAACCATGCTTTTTAAATGGGTGTAATGTGTATATGAATGCAAACCACCTCTAGTGACATCCAAGATTTAACACTTTTTAGCATTCTCCTCCTATTTTAATTGTCTTCAGCAGTTGAAACAATTGCAAGAAGGAAACCATCCAAAAGAATTGGCAGTACCTGCCAATACGTATTTGCATATTTAGGAACTCCCAGTAAAAAACCACTCAACATTCTGTATACATTTCAGCAAGAAAATCTGAATAAATTTTAATCAAAATCCATTGTAGCAACAGCAAGAACCTGTGTCACCAGCTATGTCACTGTCAACTTATTGCCTGAAGAGCCAAGGAAGCCAACCCTTTGGGCAGCATTTCCAAAAAATCCCTGCTTTGCAGAACTGGTCTTTACCCTACTGTATTTCAGAGGTGCTGACTGGTCATGGCACTGGTTTGAAAGGGAAACCCATGGTGAAAGGCTCAGTGGTTCATTTAACTCTTTTGGCAACTTTGATCACCGTTGTAAAAGAGAATTGGGAGTTTTTTGGTTCTAATTTTCAGCAAACCTCTTATCCTCCATCAACCACTGTATTCATGAAGAGACAGCTGGAAGAGAATTCATTAAATATATCTAAAATAATTCTGACTATGCTTCTTGTTGCAAACAGTCTGCTTCTTACTCTGGTACCAAAACTTTCTGTGTGGAAATGATAAAGATGCACTGATTCATTTTCCCAGAAATTTGCTTAAGAAAGTGCTGCTGATCAGATGATAGAACACAGCTGCAGTTTTAGAAAGGTATTTAGAACAGGAGGTCTGCTCAATGGGTTTTCCAAGAGGTGTGTTGGGTACCATGGTATGAATTCCAAAAAACAAAACCGAAAAGGAAATCCATCACAAAAGCTGCATCTAATTTTCAAAGCCTAAATCCTAGTGTATGATTTAATGAAATGTATTTTAATCTGAAACAATGCACTGCATATTTGAGCACATAATCTGCTTTAAGGTATTTCTACAGAAAACCACCATACTCAAGTGCAATGACTGGAATTTCTGTAATTGCTAAAAGAACAGATAACACTGGAAATAAAATACACAGCATTTCTCCAGTTTCCTCACATAAATTCCATTCTTACATTATAATCTTCCATGGGCTGGCAAATTTCAAAGACTCCAATAAACCATCCTGTCTCAGTAGCAACAAACAGAAGAGGGAACCCTTCCAGGGAACAGGTCAGCCAGATACCCAGGTATTTCCCAACTGCTCCAAATGACTCTGGCTAACCAGTACCTGGCCATCTAAAAGCTTTTGGGTGCAGAGGTATTTATTGGTTTCATTTTAAATCATAAGCAATGAAATGCATAGACAGTTCATGACAAAATGTAAGAGGAATGTCTATAGCTGATACTTGTAGGTATTTCTCTTGAATCACAAACTGTAAAGATTTGCACCTCCCTGTTTAAAAAGCTTAGTCTTTTGTGGAGAAACACCAGCTTGCAAAGGATTCTTCACATTATTGACATTGAAAGTCAGACACATAGAAGTTCAACTCACAAAAAATCCCAACACCCACCACAACAAAAATCCAAACCCACATCCCACACTGATCAAGATATTTCTTCTGAGCAGAACAGCCAGCACACAACAGATCAGAGAGTTGGTTCTAACTAGGGTTACATTAAGGGTGGCTGATAATACCAGTGTTAAACAAAAATATCAGCCATATATTTGAACTTCATAGTAAAAGGAGTGTAAATATCAAATGCTATGACTTTTTTTTAATCCAAAATTATTTTCCTAAGTAAAGGAAGAATTATTGCAATTTGAAACCAATATGAAATTATGAGAATAACAATAAAAATTCCAAAAAAACCCTAAATCAAACTAAACCAACAAACTCTGGAGAGAAAACCAATTAATGCTGTTAAAATGGTTTCTTGTTTGAAGCAACAACACAACTACAACTGAGAATGGAAAAAATATAAGTAGCAATTCCTTTCAGCAAAGAGACCTAAATCACTAAAATAGTTTGGTTGTCTTAAAATTGATACCTCCACAGATCTCAAACAAGCATAGCAATTTGTTTTCTTGCATTAGACTCTAATTACTATTATTATAGAAATTTTCAAGACATTGCATAAAAATAGATCTGCAGTTCAGGAAAGCCTGAATGTGGAATAAAGAGAAATGCTTTAGGGTGGGTTTAGGTAACCCATATATGAGTTTAGAGAACAGTATCTACTGAGCTTAAATTCAATGCATGTCTTAATACAAATTAGCTTTCAGTTGTGGACAACAGCTGGTTCCAGGAAATTCTGTATTATGTCATTATTTCTTTTATTAGCTTAGCAAGATACTATCACATCAATTTATAGGAATGGATCAACATTCTATATCCAAAATGGTACATTCTGTGGCCTAGAAGCCATAATAAATGTGAAATAATGCCAAATAAAGATGAAAAAGATACTATAAATCAATTGAAATTATTGGAGTACTCTGTTGTCCAAGTTATGGAGCAGCTGTGATGGTTTAAATGTCATAGTTGGGGGAAAAAATTAATAAGAGTGCCCTAAATTGATTGTGGTACCTGCTATTACAACCTATTTCAAATTATTTTATGTAACTTTTTGTCATGTTAAGTACCTGTTTCATCATCCATGTAATTGCAAGAATCTCTGAATGTTCATGCTTTAGGGAAAACGTATCATGTTCAAAGGATAGTGCTCACTCAAGCTAATTATTTTTCAAAGTAACTGACAGGGAAGAATATCCTAATTGCCTATTAGCACAGTAAATTTCATCTCATCCTTTGTGTCCCTGAAACAGGTGTGATCAGTGACATGCTCTGTATCATGTTCTTTGTGAAAGAAGACATCTGCCTATGGGCAAACTGAACCTTTACTCAGCTTGTTTAAGGAAGTATTTTAAGAGCTCAAATCTTAGGTCTCGCTTGGCCAAACCAAAGTGTTCCAGCAGGCAGGAGAAAGAGGTGCAAAATAAAGCAAGATCTCTACATACCTGATCACACCAAATTCTACTGGAAACAATATACGATACCTTTTCCTGCTTCACTTGCCTGTGAGGCTTAAAAACTGTAACCAGCACTGAAACCAGGCACTACCAATGTTAAGAAATGCTGCTTTTGGCAGGGAAGTTTCACTTTAAACTTGGTTTGCCACAGCAAGCTACTAGTGAGGTACTATTGAAATTCATTCTTGTCTTTCATCAAAGGACATTCTCCAAAAAAAACATATTCCCTCTTATAGCATAAAACTTACCTTTGTTCAAAAACACAAGCATATAAAAAAATACATCTTACCTGGAGCGTTGGAAATTATTTAAGGCTACAAATGAAAGTTGCAGATGTTTCACTGTGATACATGTAAGCTTTTAAAGTGCATACTGTCTACTTATTTATATTATAATCTTATCACTGTTATTAATATTCTGTTTCCTTAATAGTTTCAAAAAACTTCACAAACATAGCTCATTCATTCAAGTAACATCTCAAAATGCTTAATATTAAAAACTTTGAAGGATTTCTTGCTCAATGTTAAAAATTATGCTAAATATAATCTTAAAAAGACAGTAAAATACACAATATCCCTTACAATAAAGATAATTTTATATCCATTCCTTCCCAAAATTACAAGATATGTCCAAAAATAAGTCATGAGGAATACATCTTGCTTTCCCTCCTAAGTCTCTTTCAGTATGAATTATAACTTAAGAGATAAAAATGCAATAAAATTCCTACCTCTTTCATTAAGACTGTTTAGCACTGCCCTTTCAAGCTGTTCTTCTTCAGTGAGCCCACCTGTATAATCAAAGTAGCTCCTTGGAGTTCTGTATTGATAATCTGGATAATAGCCATAATATTCTGTAAAATGAATCAAAAAATAAAATAAATTGCTGCTACTCAGCAAGTGTGAAATCAGATATTATCTTCTTGCTATCTTTCTTCCACAAAGTGTTTTAATTCGGGAAAGAAAAAATTATTAGGGTTCAATTACTTATACAATACAGGCCATGAATTAACTTCTAATTTACAAAGCCACAGCATAGTAACAGGAAGAAAAAAAAAAACAACTAAAAAACCACAACCAAACCCAGAAAAAACACGGACCAAATATCTCAATTTTTTATAACTGTTCAAACTAAGTGTCATAGAATGCTATTACTAAGTTTCACACAGAAACTGAAAGACAGTTTTCATCATCTCCTTTTAACATTTAGATGTCAGCATTTGGACAGACCTATCACCAGAACACAAACCAGGTACTGTTCAGGTTTTTTCTCCCCACCTCTCTTCCCCTTTCCCCCAGGGTCCATAAAACAATGTCATCATAAATTCCAGTCATCTTTGGTCCTAGAGAAGTCACAGGAGAAGATTCCTGCAGTGCTGTACACATCTCATGGTGTGCTCTGGCACAGCTAAACCTGCCCTGCACACAGGCAGCACAGCACAGATCTCATCTGTGTCCCACTCACTGCTGCTGCACTGCTGACAAACCTTTCTGGTCTTTGCTCAGCTGGCCAAAACCAAGCACAGGCCATCACCCACCCAAACACATGGGATTCAAAAGGAAAAAATTACTTGGCTAGAGAATTGAGCAAGACTCTCTTCCTGCTAACAACACAATCTGATCTTGCCTGAGCACAGAAAACCTAAGCTAAGAAAAATTATGGAAAAAAATATCACACTTTTCAACTGAAGAAAACTATGGAGAAAAGTTCAATTTTTCTATTCCATTTCTGTATTTTCAAAACACAAATTTTTTGTGATGTGTTCATTTCCAGAGAGATGAACAAGGGATTTTGAAGAACCAAAGTACAGAAAGGTTGACAGTTCCTTCCAACTGAGAAAAAAAATTATACAAAGGTTTTTCAAAATTATCAAAGTGGAAATATTTTTGTATTAAACAAGTACAGCAGGCCATTTCCTTTTTCTTCAGATTATTATCATCAATGATAGTCATGTGTTTTCTCATTGGTTCTCTCAGTTCCAGGTGAAACTTGTGAAGTTTCTGTGGTTAATAAAAAATAGAGATGACTAAGTGAGGACAAATAACTAATTTCTATTTAATAATTATTTTGCTGAAGAAAAATATCCCAAGCTCCAGAACCTTTAGTCAAATAAAACCAACAACGCTCTGTCTTGAAAGTTATACAGGAAAAGCAGGAAAAACTGAACAGAGTAACTGTACAAAGTTCTACATAGAATTATATATATTCCTCTCTGTTTTCCAATATCCCTACACTGATTTTATACACACATGTACACATACACAATATACACACACAATCTTTTCCCAATTCTTTCCTGTCTTGGAGCACAACTGACATTGGAAGATTTTTCCTACACCTGCAGTGAAATCTGACTGAGGGACAGCATTCAGCTGTTCTGTCTGTACACTCCCCTCATTCTCCTCTGCTTTATGTTAATCTGAATGAACATTTTCTCAGCTACAAATTTGTTTTCTGGAGGCTTCAAAACTACATGCATGAAGAGTGTAAAAACCCTGCTACTAAAGGCATGAAATTTTGTGATGAAAGCAAAAGGATGCTATATTTTAGGTTTGTTCTATTGCTGTAGTTTTTTCTGTTTTATGTTTCACACTGCCAGCAAGTTGTAAGTGCTCAGAAAGCTGTGATCTTTTATTTTAAAATGAGACACAGTTTGGTAACATTGACATGTTCAAGATGTTCCTATTAATCAAAATAAATGTCCTAATACTTTATTCATGAACTGCACTTAGAGAAAACCTAATTCAACCACTAAATGTGCTAAAATTGCACTTAAAACCTTCTTTCTTTTAAAGCTGTTTCCTTGTGCTGTTTCATAAAATCCATTTTTTCTGACCATAACTTCATCTATTTTTCTACTTAAATTGGTATTTAAAGGCACATAGTAATAAATCAGCAATGTCAGAAAGTGAAAAACTAATCAAGATATGCATCATTAGCCTATGACACTAGAGAGGGTTTTCTTCATTCACAGATGGCCAAATTTATTCCATATATCATACACCAAGCAAAAGGTTAAATCTTCCATTAAGACTTCTGCAAATAGAATGACAGACAATTACAATTACAGGGAATGAACATAACAAATATATATTTTTGTAACTGCAGTTGTAAGTCACTTTAGACAAATTAATTTAGTACAAAGAAAAAATTAAATGTTTATATCTAAAGGGAAATCTGGAAGACAAGATAATTCAGGTTAACTCTCTCCATCTCCCCATTATCTAAAGGAACTCAAAGTAACAGCATTTGGGGACTGCCCAAAACACACAAAAAAACCCCAGACTTCCTTGTTGTCAGCATACTACAGCTTTTTTTCCCTCCCCATCATGGCAGATCTACTACATGAAATCTCTTCCATTTTCCCTACTTGAAAAGAGCTGGAAAAGCAAACAGAAAAGGCTGCTGAGAATCTCTCTGCTGCTCCTCCACAAGGGTGGTCTCGTACACCCACCCAAGCTCCCAGCAGCTGGTGTTTGTACAGGGGCTGTAACAGATCACAGAGTTTAAATGTCAAGTACAAATTCTTATCTTCATCAGCTATTAAAGGACTTTTTCCAATATAAATCTTTTGAGTTTCCATCCACCCTGCTGCTCTGGGATACTGGAGGAAGGTTCAGTGTGTGTGAGCAGCTGGGCTGGGCAGCAGCTGTACCTGGATGAGCACCTTCACCCGGGCTGGGACTGCCAGCCATGGAACAGGTCACTCGTGCTTGCTGCACATGCTGCCTTCACCTCTCATTTCACTTCACAGTAGTAAATGTTTTATTTTCACAGTAGTAATCGTTTTATTTCTTTACTGGCCTTTAGATCAAATGTTTTGTGACCTGAGAGTAAATGAGAGTAATGAAAATCCTGGGTAAATGTACTTTTAAGTTAGAACAATCACTGTTGCTGTTGCTGAAGAAAGCAGGCTAAGATCTTTTGTTTAGGAATTACAAAACAGATGTTTCAAAAATACTTAAGGGCCCAGAATCCTGCTTGTGGGAACTATTTAATGTAATAATAAAATTGGAGATAGATCATGGAAGACAAAGTCCATCAGGGAGAATAAAAGTAGCTATAAACTTGGCTCAAAGTAAGCACATCTCAATTATAAAAGACTACACAAAATAAAAACCCCTGCCTGACAAAACATCAGAGAACAGTAAGAATGATCAAACGTGTGAAATAGTTTCCTTATAAGCAACCAGACAGACTCCAACTTTCTGAATGAAGGGAAAAGATAGTCATTGCTAGTACAGGACTGAAGTCTAAAAAACCACTGAGGAAGGAAGTACATAAAGAATGAAGGTTTAATCTCCCTCCCCAAAGAATTAAAGCGCATTAAATGAAATTAGCAGTTAGCAGGTTTAGGCCAAACCAAAAAGTGACAGATTCTAAAGCAGGAAACAAAGTGTGAGTCTTTTCTGATGATGTAGGTGTTAAAAGTGTCCATGTCGATTCAAAGAGCTTTTGACAAATTGATGGAAGAAGGATCTACCACAGGCTATTAAAGACAAAATCCTCCAATAAAACTTTCTGCTGAGAACATCTTTAAGCCACAAGCCACTGCACACTGGCAGATATTTGAGAGAGTTATCACTATGCATTTATCCTGTTCTTCCAGCAGATGCCTAGGAAAGAGCATAAATCACTGCAGGAGGTAAGAGATGCCAGGATATGCATCCCTTAGCTCAGATCAAACACCCAGAGCCCTTCTCCCAGCCTCTCCTGGCCCTCACAGACAAGGATTCCACCTATTATTTCTGTACACTCCACAGGCAATGATTCAATGCTCTGCAGGAGAGGTGAATCAAATGAGCTCTGCTCAGTGTGCCAGCATTTCAACCATCCATCTATAAACTGCAGATGGCCTAAATTCAGTCTGCTGAGAAGGGGCTTTCTGCACGTAAATGACTTCATTTACAGAGAGGGTTCAAAGGAAGAAGATCCTTGTTAGAAGGGAAAAACCACCCTAGAATGGAAAAGATAAATTTGCCAGATGAGGGCATATTTACCAAGGTCCAAAAGGCTGCTTTCAGTAGACACAATTTCCCCACTGCAACACCTTGTGCAAAAGGGATGATATTTCCCTGAGGTAGCATTTTAGGAAGTCACGACCTTAATTTGAGGCTTAAGCCTCTTGTACAAAATCCATCCACACACTTGCCTGAAGAGGAAAGGTGAGACATGCCCAGAGAAGTAATAGAAGTTTAGCAAGTATACATGTGCAGAATATTTTGTATACTCTGTGTGTTTCCATTTACCTAGCTCTCCTATGGTTTTCTAATCATTAGCAGAAACTGTTTTTAAAAAGTTTTTGTTTAAGTGGACAAGAGTACTTACCTGAATAGTAATCTCTTGGCCTGTCAGGCTCAGTGAAGAAAGAAATGCCAGCTAAATAAAAGAATAATGCATATACTGTTAGAATAATCATATTTTCTTTATAGAATACAAAATTCAAATTTAAAGTACCCTTTAAGAGTTTGTTTCATAAGATACAGGCAGGAAATCAGTCATGGGTATCTGTGGATTGTTTTGGCATCAGTGAGAGAATATACTGTTGCAGGCTTGTATGTTCCAGATTTTATAGTAGAGTGCCACGTTCAAGCAACAAATCCATGCAGACTAGAAAAAAAGCAAACCACTCTATAATGTTCTCCCAGAACACATAATGAACAATTTCTCCACTGAGAGTATTTATTATTAACAATGTTTAATGCATAGAAAACTGAGGACTGGAGCAATACTGCATTATTCCTGCTTTGCTACACAGGAGAAAAAAATGCCTGTGTGCCCAACACTGCTTCCTGCAGCTGTCAGTCACACAGAACCTGCACAGCAGCCAGGGCAGGTGTCACAGTACTGCAGGGTTATCACTGAATCCCAGAGAAAGTCATTGGAAGGGACCTCAGAAGATCCCCAGTCCAACTCCAACCAGAGCAGGGTTAGTGAGGAGATCAGAGCAGGGCTGCATCTTGCCAAGTGCAAGGCTGGAGGCCCTGAAGCTGCCCTGGCAGCTGAGCTGATGCCTGCCTGCTCCATAGTGATCAGGTTGTTCCCCTGTGGCACAGCAGCACGCAAGGCTAACCTTTAACTAACAGACACCTGACGTCTGTCCCCCAGCAAGGCAGGAAAGCTGATGCTTTGGTGTCCTTTTCCCTTCCAGCTGCTGAACATGCATGACCTACAGACCATCCCCAAACTGTGATCAAAGCCCCAGTGAGGGCACTCACATTTGAACAATTAATTCCCCACTATACAAACACCCTGTCCATGTTCAATTTGATGGAACAGTCATGAATAAACACTCAACCTATCAAGAAGTCAGACAAAAAAAGCCAAATGTTCTCCCAACCAACCCCAGCACAGCTGCTGTGTCGGGGCTTAAGACTTCCAATTAAAACACTGATATTTATGGGAGTGTTAATTTAAAAGTTTGAGGGACTGTTTTTAAAACAATTGTTAAGACTAAAGATGTCTAAAGTTACAGTCTTTTTTAGAAAATAATTATTACTGCAACATGAAATGCTGTAATAACACTTTGGAAAGCTCAACAAATCCAGCAACTATTTCTTAAGCATCCCACCACCTTTTTCAAACCAAAGACTTCCATTAGAATCAACATAACAGTAGAAATGAAGACAGAAACATTTGGTTCTGACAAATATTTATGGCTTCACCACACTTCACTTGATGTTTTCATTGAAAGATTATACTCTAAATAAATACTTAAAAAGAAGAGTAAAAGGTATTCCTCTAAGTAAAAATATCTGAAATTCATATTTATTCTTAATTGTTCTTACCCATATTTAAGAAAAAAATTGAATTTTTTTTCTTCTGCATCCACTTGAATAAAATGAGCACATCTTTAATTGTCTGAAAACTTGCTGGAATGGGCTGAATTTCTATATGCAAGGCTTACTGAATTTTAGAAATAGAAGTATTTCTTACGCAGATTTTGTAAATTCAACAAAATTATATACCTGCACAGGCTTGCATGATCTTTTTCAGAGGTCCCATGGTGTACATCAATCCAACAAGAATCCCTGACAAATGCCCAGCGAAAGAAGTCCTAGAAAATAAAACAATCTTGTGAGTAATGGAAAAGGAGACTTTTTTTGGTAGGGATACAAAAGGGAGAGTGTAGAATTTGTTGTAAAGATAAAGTGTCTGAGACTTCCCAGATGAAGTCCCTGAGAGAGACCAAGCACAGAGACATTACCTGTCTGCAAGGTGATAATGCCAAGCCTCCTTTCTTTGTAACTACCTTAAAATTGGGAGTTACACAGCTACAGTAAAGTATTTAACAAATACCCTGAAAAAGCTAACTGGAGATCATTTCAGTTGCTACAGAATGTGATTCTCTAAAAGCATTTAAAGACTTACCAAAGGAGTAAACTGGTTTTAAGCTTTAGAAAAGTAACTTACACTGTAATATCTGGGTAGACTTTACCAAAACCATGCACATTTCTGAGTGAAAGCACAAACACAATACTTTCTACTGCACTATCCATGCAATCCTACAATTAGTCTGAAAGAAGCATGAATGCAGATCCACTGCAATCTTTGTAATATGCTGCCTTCAAAATGAAAAGAACAATTGAAATGCTGAGATCCAAATTCTTTTCTATGCATACCAGCAACTTCTTTAAAAAATATCATTACCATTTGTATACAGAGGGAAAAGGCTCTGGAGTCTTTTGAGAAATCAAACAAGAAGCACATGTTTACAGTAAATAAGGAGATTTGCTGCAGTTTTTTACATGACTATGGGGTACTCTATAAATTCAAAAATCAATTTTCAGCATTCAAGTTAAGAGTTAAACTCTTTTGTGTTTAAACACAGATTAGGAGAAAATCTTCTGAATTCAAGCAGGTGTAAACACTAGTTGAAAATTTTTCACCTCTATTACAAAGTTACAGAAGCCAATACACTAAACATTAAAATTTCCTTGTATGTGCAATTAGAAATAACTCATTTATACTGGTTGTCAAAAAATTTAAATAATACGAGCTACAATAAGCTTTTTTTTTCCTTTATAAAGTAGAAATGAAACCTCTGTGTAATGTACCGAGTGTAATGTTAGCATCAATTTTTACATTCAGGTCAGTGATCTGCAGGAGTTATACAGATGATGGCACAACCACTCAGGACACTCAGGCCAAGACAACTTCCAGGTAATAGGAGACAGGAAAGTGCAAGTGTCACTAGAGGGAGGTAAAGATCAAATCTAAATTCCCTCTTTTGCCACCTACTTAACCTCAAACTCGTATCCTGCCATGAAGAGTGCAGTTCTCTCTCCTTGGTAACCAACAATTCTCTAGAGAGTAACACACAAATGCTGATGTGAAAATTCATAGATAAAAGGTAGTTACCAAAATAAAGTATCTGTAAGGAACTAATTTTCCAAACAGATTTTCGGGAACAGATTTTCCAAATGTATGAAAAATGCATGCCTGACTTGGAAAATGTCTGACCTCAGAAAATTAAAAATACTTAGAAATCACCTCCTCTAGAAATCACCAACATGATATTGGTTCACCTAAGACTTAAGATACCTGCTCAATTGTGGAAGAGGAACAGATTAAACAGAAAGTAACTTTTCACATGTCTGCTCTTCCATGAAACAAATAATCCCAAAGACTGCTAGCAAAGCCTACATCTCAATATCCTTTATGGAAGGTGAAGACTGAATGCGCTTTAAAAATTTTCCAAAACAAAAAAATTAATGAGAAAGAAAATAAGATGGCAGTAAACTCCTAAATCCTCTCCCAGCACACAAAGGCAGGTCCCAATTTACTGCATAAACTTTCTAACTGGGCAGAATTCTGCCCCAGTTACTGACCTCTTATCTATTCAAAACTAAATTATGCAATTTGGTTTACAAAAGGAATCAGTTAAACATAGACTTCAAATATTATAACCTGTCCTGAGCACACAGATGAGCATGTAAGAGCAGTGCTGTGAGAGATACAATTGCTATGGGTCATTGCAAGGCAGTGGGCAGTTACTAATTAAACATGTTGTGTTCTAGGATATGAATTTCTGCAGATCACTCCTTGTTTTCAAGTACAGTCTGTAGTCCCTATTATATTTTAAGTGCTGTGAAATTGCCCTCTGTAGAGGTTTAAATCAGGCAGCAATCTAAACTCCCATGAAATTATGACATTTTTTTATATTATTTTGGACTTCCTATCCACTCTCTATCCAAAGACATTTCTACAGTAAAGTAACTGAAAAAGAACAGCACACAATGACTGAACTCATGTTTTTCCTCTACCATAAACAGTATGATATGGTTTCACTTCATACATAATGCCCTTCCACTATTCTTTAATTAAAAACAGTATTGTTAAACATATCACCAAATAAAACCTATGTTGAGTTAAAACAACAGTTTATGTTTTTCAGAAAAATGTTTTTAATGCACTGAAAGCTTTACTTTTATATTTGTAGCAATGCCATGCAGCTCACAAACAAAATTGCATTTGGGCAGAGCACTCTTCTGTCTTTAATCCTCACTGCAGTCAATTGAGCAGCCAGGCATAAAGCTATAAACCCAGTGCTTAACCTAAGCAATATCTGAATTCTCCTTCTGCACTAGGAAATGTTCCATCAGCTACATCACAGCACCTGACAAGGAATATCTCAGTATTGCTGAGCTCTTTTTTTTTAATCTTTCTGAAAAGTGGGAAATTATACATAAACTGTGATTTGATGGTTCATAGGTTTTGTGTCTGTACTTTGCATATATTCAGCAATGTGATTCACAGTTACAAAATATTACATAGGAAAATTATTCATTTGGAAACAGGACCACAAAAATCAACTGCCAAAGAAGAGCAAGGTTCTCCCAGAGGTAGGGGCAGATGAAGTGTGCTGGCATAGAGCACACAGGGAAACTGAGGGAGATGACCAGCAGCACTGCAGGACAGTGACATTGACAGTGACAAAAGTGGCAGAATACTGCATGATAGTCTGGTCATAAATAAGAGGAGTGACTAAGCCAGAATGGCCTAGGACAGAAATGGCAAGCAAACACTGGAATGCTGCTCAGCTAATGAAGCCCTTGGACTCCAGTGGAATAGTTTAGTTACTTTGTTGAACAGGCCCTTCTCCTTGTCCATCAGCTTTTGTTATCTTCCCTCAAATACTCAATTATACCTTCTGGAACAGCATTTCAGGTTTTTAATTTGAGATGTACTCAAAATAGAGGGTTTTAAGGAAACAGCAGACTGCAGGCCCAACTCTGCACTGGGATACCAACTAACACTACTCACACTTCATGAGACATTTCAAACTACTCCAGATAGCCCAAATCTCTTCTCCTTTCTTTGAATTATTAAATACACTTACCCTGGGGAGATTAAATGAATAGCCACCAGCTCCACCCAACAAGCATATTTACTGGCTATGGGCAATCCAAAGACACTGCTCACTCTTCCTGGGTTATAATGGTTGTTCAGAACTTTCAAAGCAAACAAGACTCCTGCAAACAAGAAGAAATCACATGAAGAGAGAAATACTTGTGCACAAATAATAAAGAAATATAAGCAATTTGAAGTATCATGCAGTTTCAAAGCACCACAAAGCATACTGCTGCATGCCAGAACAGTTCTGTTCTTTCAGTGATACTTTTCAGTGACTTAAAAAAAAGATACAAAAATTGCATATTGTATAACAGCCAAATCTAAGCTGCTTTTTAATGTGCCTGCTCACTGGAGCTATTCAGGTATTGAAAACAATACAAACATAATTTTAAATGGGAGTTCTAGTTGAAATAATTGACAAAATTAGTGAACTCAAAAAAATGTTCTGTGACTTGAGAAAAGCCACTACTGAAAACAAACCAAACAAATACGTGTAAAGCTCAACAGTAGGTTCAAATTCTGAATTAATGGAAAATCATCTTACACATACTCCAGAATCACTTGTTTCTGAAAAAAAAAGTAGATAAATCATCTTTCATCACAGTAAATAATACTAATTTCTAACTGACTGCAACTGTTTTATCACGCAACTGCCAGCCATATGATGGAATGAATGCAGAGACCTTATTTAAAGTGTTTATGAAAAAGTCTCAAGAGAAAGCTCACAGTGGTGTGAGCAACTTTCTTAAAGGCTGAAAAAGAGGGCTTGCCTTCTGAGGCTAGGTTCAAATGACAGAAAGGAAATCTCCTACTTATCTAGAAATGCAGGGCTACTTTTCTACTTGACTGCAGATTTCTTAAAGAGAAGGAGTTTATTGACTTGAAAATGATCTGTTAAAGGAGGAGACAAGACCATTACTGGAAGGAAGATGACCAAAATCAGGCCTTTGGATGTTGCTAGCAGAAGCAAATCCAGGGGAGCCTCTCCAAAGACAGGCACGAGTAATTTGAAACTGTTAGGCTTTTCTAGAAGCCACCTAAGGACCATTATTGAAATGCTTACATGACATTTGAAAATTAAGAGTTCAAACCTCAATTAACCAGCAGTATTAAACAGAAAACACATTCTACCAGGATGATGATGTTTTCATGTTCTTGGATAAAGTCCCTGCTGGTCACAAGAACATGAATTGAACTACTTCATGTTCATGCCCATAGTACATGCTTTAAATTTAAAAATAGGATAAACATACTGATATGACAATCATACATATATACATATGTACATTTATCTTCTTTCTGCAATTAACAATTAATTAATTGTTATATAGCAACTAGAAATATGAATTTTACACACATAACTTGGACCAACACTGTATCTTACCTGAAAAACCCACGCCACAATTCATTTCATAGGAAGGATCATCCAGAATTACCACAAGCAGGAGTTCCAGCACCATGTAAACTACTCCAATCAGTACTGAAAATACTGCAATTATGTAGGCAAACCATATGCTCTTCAGCTTTCTTTCCAGCATTATGCCCTTCCAAAGCATGGAAATCATGTTATAATACAAATGCCAATCATCTGCATGGTGGAAAGGAGCAAGCAGCAAACGCTGCCAGTTCCTTCTGTGGACAGCTTCATTTACACTGAGACATGCTTCAGACAGTGGCCTCAAAGGATTCAGAAAGAGAAAAATATTCAGTACAAGTACCCCAAGGGTAACAGCAGGAATGTTCTGGAGTCCAACTTGAGAAATTTGATAAAGCAGCAAAAGCAGTCCAGCACTGACTCCTCTTTGCCTTCGTTCCATAGTTACTTCTTACTCAAAGAAATGTGAAGATTATTCCAATTTCCAGTCTTTTGTTCAATTTCAAAACCATACAAGTTTTGGAAATTCTAAAAGAAAAAAGATAACTTGTTATATACATATTGTGGTGTTTTGAAGCTCATTGCTGTTTTTGTGAGATTTTAAACACAAAAAAAACCATCAAGGTAATCAGCTGAGACCTTTTATATATCAGAACAAAAATTCAAGTGAGGAAAAAAATAAGAATTTGTAAACTACCACAAAACACAAATAAAAGAGATTTATACAGGTAATCCAGACAAACATTGAGAGAAAAAGCAGTCTGTGACCTCTGTTTCACATCCTTCGACAGGCTGTACTTAATCCACTAAAATACTTGAGTATTCTGGACATGCTTTCATTAATTCTGATTCAGTCAGAATAAGTAAGATTTCAGGAAGGAAAACAGTTCAAAACTGGTTGTGCTTTTTTATCCTGAAAATGACTGCAGATACATGTAAAATGTATCTGCTACATTACAATGAAAGTGATTACGTTTTTCCCACGTTATTATCTTGGAAATGCGACATAATGCCTGAGCCTTGTCCAAAACAGAATGAAAAGAACAGAAACATGCTTTCTACCAGGCCTCTTGAACATGGAACTTCCCATACTGGTGCCTTCTGAAACCAGTGTCTAATGATCACAATTTAACTGCAGAGAGCACAGCTGTAGCCTCACAAAGCTCAAATGAAACAACGTGTTAAACTGCAAATTGGCCATTGCAGGTTAGTCAATTACATTGTTAGTGTCTGATTTTAAAGTCAACATTACCAAAAAAATATAGTTAACCCAAAGTTTAATCAATGTCATTCTGTTTTTCCACACACACTAGCTCTGATATCAGGTACACCAACATCCCCCAATAGTCTTATAATCTTCTGCCCAGACCTCTGGCTTTTCTTGTACCACATGCAGAGTTACAGTTTTCACAAAACAGTTGACACAAAAACTCTTAGAATTTAAAATTGAACATCCTTTAAATACAAGTTATGAGGAAATGTCAAAATCTTGCCATACTATGTTGCACAAATTCTCAGTCTTGCATTTTATAGTTCCCATCTCTGCTTCTGATACCCTTAAATTCCCAATTTTCAACAGCCATGCACCTAAGAAAAGAAAGCCTCATGCAGCACGTAGCCAGGAACACACCATGGAACAGGACAGGGAATGCTTTCCATCATGACTACAGCAGTGCTAGTTATCACAAACCATTCCCATTCCTGGGAGCAACCAAAAATGTCAGCCAAAACACATTGTGTGTTTGAGTCAAAGGGAAAAGGTCCCAGCAAGTGAACAGTAGTTATTTGAGAGCCTCCTTAATGCAACTCCCTCAAAGCATATAGAGCTTTCAGCTGTTTGAACATTCCTCCTCAGCCTCTACTCTGTTTATTAAGTCTAATGAGGCTTGAAACAATGAAGCACTTTTTTCCTTTTTCTTTTTTTTTTGGAAAACATGCCACCTACTTGAAAATGTACAAATTTCCAGAACAGACTTGAAACAGACATTTGTCTTGCATCCAGGCTGCCACGTGCCTGCATTTTTGTCACCTACTCAAGATAAATGTCTGAACTAAATATCCTTGGAATTTGTTTCGTACTAAGCAAGTAAAGGCATTTAAACTTATTTTTACTGTGACAAACCCCCTCACTCACTTGGCAGCCATAAAATATTAGGTCTTCACATTACTAAAAAAATCATGTAATAAAGTAAATATTTTAGTAAATATCAGTTAAAATGAAATGTTTTACTGTGTTTTCTTATAGCTGTAATTTGAATTTAGAGGAAAAGAATCTCCCTGTGCCCTTGCTCCCCCTAAAACAGACATAACTACCCAGAATTTTTGATTATGCAAAACCAAGTACACTCCAGAAAAAAAAAAAAAATTGTGCATTCAGCCTACATGTTCAGATTAGAGCTAGACCAATGTCAAAACCACTTGAAACACGAAGGGTTTCAGAGCCCAAGCACAAAGCATTCCACAGCAAAGATAAGCCTCAGCAGGCCCACACCACTGGTCTGTGAAGACACAGGCTCAGGATACAAAGCTCGTGCAGGTAAAGCAGAAACTGCTTTTAGGGCAAAAGAGGAGGGCAAGGGAAGCAGGAGCCAACTGTAAAAACTTTGCCAAGAGGTGGGGAAAATGTCTAACAGAAAAAACAACCAATGCAAGGAAAAATAAACTAAAAAATTGAAACACAATTAATCATCCTGTTTATATTTCGTAAGTGTGCAAGGAGAAGGTCAGCCACAAGCTGCCAGCTACAATCAGCTTTGAAATGTCCAGTCAACTGCATGGCTCATAGAAAGACAAGATTGTGACTTAATTATAAAATTAATTGCTTCATAAAGAACAACTTCTGGATTCATCAGATTTGCCTTTAAAGGGCTTTCCTTCACAGAGGAATACTGAATGGTGAACTCAAAAGACACAGCATTTCAGAATTTGGTAAGAGAAGTCACACATCTGTAATCAAAATGTTTTAAAACAATTTAAACTCTCTGAGACAATTCAAAGTTAAATATCAATGTTCGGTGACTTCATAAATGGCTATATCACAGTCTTCTTTTGTGATGCAACATTTTAAATTTCTAAGTTTTCTGTGAGAATAAAGAAGTTCTTCTGCCTCATATCTGCTTCAGCATGAAAATTGAAAATCTTGTAGAGATTTTTAATCGTCTTAGGTACCACTAAGAGGAAGTCCTTAAAAAAATAAGCTTTTAAACTAGAAACTTCACCTTAAAACTGAAAATTGTGTTCTGAAGGGTGTAACAATTACTGTTCACAATGAAATATACACATGTTAAACAACACATGCCAAGAATCATTTTAGCCACCTTATCCCAAAATAAATGAGACAGCTTTCACAGGAAAGACCCAAGGGACTAGGTCAAATCTCTCTCATAACAGACAGTAATTAGTAACTGCCTTTCAAAACACCAGGATACATCTACACTAATTGAACTTGGAGAAGTGAAATAGTCATAAATATTTAATATCACTGTACTTGTAAAGGTAAGAGGATGTCACAGCTTAAAACAAAAATACATCAAAACAACAAGGAACTTCAGATTAGGCCACAGCTGAGTTTTAACTTCACAGATGTTTAACTCAGGTTCAGGGATTTGGGGTTTGTTGGTTTTTTTTCCCCGCTCAATTGCAATTGTTACAGGTGTACAATGTTAAAACTGGGTAATCATACTAGAAGAGCATCCTCCTTTATCTGAATTTTTGGTTTTTTTCCCACTCCACTGCACTTGTTACACGTGTACAATGTTAAAACTGGGTAATCATACTAGAAGAGCATCCTCCTTTATCTGAAGAATTTTCTAATATTATGAAAAATTAAACCATCAAAGATTGCCTGACTTCACTACAGAAGTGTGAAGCACAACAGCTCTCACAATTTTGGCATTCCTTGGTAGCTTTGAGGGAAAATTTGTCTGCAGTGTGTAAGAGAAAGGAAGAACAGGAAACACATTTTCTGACGAAATCCTAGTTAAATAAACAATTCTCAAACATATGCTTCTAGTATTAGCGTTATACTGCTGTTGTCAACACCTCCCATCTAGGTCAATAAAATCCATTTCCAGGAAGAACATCACTGGGCTATTTCAGGAAATCAAACCAGTTCAGGTATTGTTAATTACATTTTACAGAGACCTCAATTACTCAAACTCGGTGTTTAACAACTGTAAGAAGGCTTACCAAACGCAGACAAGATATACTTGCCATTGCTTCTTCTTTGATACAGCTGCGAGTTATTTGCAGTTTTTAGGGATAATTTTTTTTTGTTTTGTAGTATTAACAAAGAAAGGGATATAGTTGTGGCGAGTTATTGATTTTTTAAGGAGCTGTTTATAGAATTTATACAAAATGCCACTGCGGAACATGGGGCAAAGGAAAGAGTAAAGAGCACAGCTCGTGTGCAGGTGTGGCTGCGGATAAGCCCCGCGGGCTCCCGGCTCCTCCTGCGCCCCGAGCGCGCTCCACGCTGGGTGTGTATGTAAAGATAAAGGCTGTGAAACCGTGAAATATCGGCGCTTCGACTTCCCAGGCCGCTTCACCTCCGTAATTCACAGCTCCGCTCCTTGCAGCGGCGGAGTGAAAGCTGCAGAGCGCAGCCTGAGCGCAGCTCACCCAGCGCAGACCCCGCTCGGCGGGGCTCGCCCCGGGCACCCCTCAGCAGGGCGGCGCTCCCCCAGCGCCTGGGCCGCGCCCGTCACGGCCGGGGAGGCGGCGGCAAAGGCAAGACAGGAGGAGGGGAGGAGGGCAGGAGAGCAGAGTGGAACAGCACGGCAGGAGGAGCCGCGCAGGGCCGGGGAGGCGGCGGCGGCCCCGGCCCCGCCCGGGGAACGCACTGCGCCTGCGCGGGGGCCGCCGCGCCGCCAGGGGCGCTGTGCGCGGGCGCGCTGAGGGCGGAGGCGGGAGAGCTGAGGCGGTGTCTGGGGCGGGTGTTGGGCGCTGGCACTGCCCACTATTAAAATACATAATCAGGTTTCCACTGAGAGCGTTTTACTGCACTTGCAAAACAGAAACTAGTTCTGTAAGTTTAATACTTCGAGGACTTTTTTTTTCCCCCAGTGTTAAAAGCAATCAGATGAAGACATTGCAGAATCAGAGGATCAACAAGGTTGGAAAAGACCTCTGAGATCATCAAATCCAACCCACGACTAAATACTACAACATTAAACTGACCATGGCACTCATGTCACTCTAGTCTTTGCTTAAACACCTCCAGAGGCAGTGACTCTGCCTGGCAGCCCATTCCACTGTCTAATCACCCTTTATGTGAAGAGTTTAATCCTAATGTCTAACCTAAACCTCCCCTGGTGCAGCTAAAGACTACATTGGTTTCACTTTTGTAGATTACTAGTTACTGGTGTCACTGTATTATTCCCCAGATTTGACACAGATATCCAGACTGTGAGGTTTGTTATTAATATTCAGTAGGGAATACAC